GACGACGACTCATCGGCACAGGCACAGTCCCAACAGTAGTTGAGCAAAGTGATGGCGGCGTTTCTCCACTTTTGTTGGAGGTCGTCCAACGAGTCTCTCTTGGCGAAAGCCTTCGACCGCTTGTCGATCTCGGCGGTGACGGCGTTGGGGTCGACGGTCAGCAACTTGTCAGGTTCGGCTTGGGCGATCTGGTAGTTGAACGAGAAAGTCTTAGCGTCGGCAGTGGCACCCTTTTGCAAGCCGGGCTGGTTGGTGGCGGAGCCCATGAGAATGTTGAAGGTGCCGGGGAAGCAACAGTACTTAGTTTGCTGGTTGAACTCGTTTTCGTCGTATCTCTTGCCCTTTTGGTCGAACTGGTCGGGGGTGATGTTGAAGGTGTACTCCCAGTCGAAGGGGTTGTTCACCTTGTTGGTGATGTCGATCTGGTCGGCACCAGCCACCCCGTTGACACCGGCAAGCTTCAAGTAGTTGATGGCCAACTCGTCGTTCAATTGCAGGGCGTCTTCCACTTTGAAAGTCGCGGTGACCTGGAAAGTCTTGCCGTCGGTGTTCTTGTTGACGTTGGTGACAACAAACCCAGCAGCGGGCTGGGTGCCGTTGCTGTCGTCACGCTTCAGGTTCTTGTTGTACTCGTCGTACCATCTCTGGATGTTGGAGGATTGGATCTGGAGCGACTCACAGAGGAACTGCAACGACGGGGCCGAGGCCACGGCGACGGCGGCGAAGGTAGCGGGGGCGAACAACGACAACTTCATGGGTGGTGGTGGAAAGGGGGCAGGGCGCGGGTTTGGCTGCTTTTTATAAGATTTCCCTCCAGTTCTGGCAACGGAAGCTGTCGCCGCTAGTTTGGGTCAAGTGCGAGGCGCGCGCCAGCATCGAGGTGCGCTGCAGAGGTGCGCCGATGGCAAGATAATATCGCCCAATCGGGGTGAGGACGGTACCCTCTCAGGTACACAACTCGAGGTAGATACTTGCGATAACACCAAAACTTGGGAGTAAACCGGTAAAATAAAGTTATTCATATGGTTTTTTTGACGGTTATAAAGCCTAGTGCCAGGTTTACGTGCTAAAATACTATCCCTCAACGTCACTTTCGTTCCCTTCTGACGCCTTGAGTGCCTGCTGCACCCAAAGCTAAACGGGCGATGGTCTCACCCTAAACGGGGTGTCGCCAAGGCAGCCGCCGGCATTAACGACGCAGGTAAAGGGGTCGCGAAAAAAACGACAGCAGCTGCGGGCGAAGCAGCGGCCTAATCGAGTCAGTGTCGATGGCGCCGGCCAACAGCATCGGCAGTGGTTCAATTTCTATTCGGGTTTTCTGTGGTGTTTATTCGGTCTCCACTTAGTTTCAGAACGGTGCCGTCAATGCCCCATACGCGCCCCGTATATGGTTTTCGGGTCGAGAGGTAGAGTCCACTAAACTACCGACTACATCCAAATTTGGTGCTTAGCGAGCTGTAAGTAGATTTGCTACTACCTGCGCTCGCGGCAGGCCAAATCACTAAACGAGACACCCACGATTCATACGAACAATAACTACTAAATAGCAAGGCTAAAGGTGAAGGTACTAGTTTTTGTAGAGAGGGCGTGTGTACTTGATAGAGTCTACTACTAAAAATATAGCTGGTACCTTGCAAAATCCAATATGTTATTGAATTGCCGTAAATTGCTGGTTAGAGGCTGGTGACAGCGTCGTCGTCTCCACCTATATGCGGTTCCGTTTAGTGTAAGGGCCGATGATGAGGCTACTGGCAAGGGGTCATCTGTCGCCACAATGAAAACAATAGAATGCGGTTATTGTTAGACACCATAACCGAATGATACCTGGCTAGGGGGGGGCCAATACTTACTTTATTCTCTTCCATGAGTATTTGCTACTAAATCTGTTGTATATGTCTTTTAGGTTCATTGAGGGGAGAGTTTTGGTAGTGGCTGGATAGCAGACTGCAACATTCCCGATCCATGCGATGAGGCTAGCGGATGCTTGCTGTGAGTGCTTGGACAACGGAATTAGGAATAAGGGAGCACCATTTGATTCTGATTGGAGTTATTGCATTAGTATTGCCACTATATACTTTCGTGTTTAACTCAAAGGACCAGCCTTGAGTAAGACAACAATGTTCAGTAATTGTCATCGAGCTACTTCTCGGCCCTGATATGAACATAATGGTGGACGGTGGTGCCCATGCGCAAATCCGGGTGGATTTCGTCGACGCCGCCGGCAAACCGGTCGCAGTAGTCGTCCAACTTCCCCGCGCGGTCGTAGAGCTGGAGCCCCGTGTGGTGGATGACAAACAGACACACCTCGCTGGTGGGGTCAAGCACCATCACCAGGTACTTCACCACGTTAAAGATCTTCTTTAGATGAGCCATTACTTTGGCGAAGAAGTCAGGCATCATCTCGAACTCCTTGGTGAGGTCCAAGTCCAACACTCTATTCTCATGGAATAAAATGAACGGAAGCTCAAGCACGCCGTCGGTGGTCAAAATGCGGTGGAACTCATCGAGTATTTGGCGGTAGCTGGCCTCAGTAAACTGGAGATAAGGGTCACGGCACTGGACCAAGTCCACCAGGGCCAGCGGGATCAGGCCTAACGTCCCCGGGTAGAACTTAAAATTGAACGGACGGTGCATCTTGGGGGCGCTGTGGTTCTTGATTGTCTCCAAGATCGATTTCACCAGCATTTCCCGAAACCGCAGGTAGCGGCCAAAGTCAAGGCGGCCGAAGTAGTCGCGCTCCATGGCGTCGGGTTCCCAGAACGACAGCTCCACGGCGTGGGGGCGGGCCTCGTTGAAGATCAGCAGCTCAAACACCCGGCAGAACGGCACCATATTGCTGAAATACCAGCCAAACTGGACCAGATAGATCAGGTTCAACAACAAGATTTGCGGGGTGTGGCCCAGCACCAGCTTATCCCAAAGTCTCCGCAACACCGGCTCGGCAGTGAGCGAGTTGTGTAAGAACTTAGTCAAGATCTGGAGATGGTACTTCTCCAAAAGAATAAAGTCGTACAGCACTTTGGCGATTGTCAGCACCATCAAGAACTCCCGCAGCACCTCCCCGCCCAACTCGTCGCGCTTAAGCGAGTATAACTGCTCCGAGATCTCGACAAAGCACTTCTTGAACTGTTTATGAGGCAACGGCGCCGCCGCGTCCTCGGGCAAATTGATAGTGTAGCGCACGTGGTTGATGACATTGGTCTGTACGAGCTCTTCCATGCGTACTTTCTTCGGTGTCACAATCCCCAGGGGAGCCAGCGGGGGGTACCCCACCAGCCAGTATTTACCGGTACACTCGCCCAGCTTACAGCCACGGTCGATATCCTGGCGAATGGCTTCTCTGATTTTGAGGAGCTCCAGCGCTAGGGCGCCTTCGTAGTAGCGGATATCCGGGTGGTCGGGCGTCATCGCCGTCAGCCTTACAAAGTGCTGGTGGCGGGCACAGAACTTGTAGATCAGGTGCAAGCGCACCAGGGCGAAGGTTATCGGGTCCAGGCGGTGGTGGTCGCTCATGATGTCGAGGAACGTCGCGTAGCGGAGGTACTGGTAGGTGGGGGTGATCATGTGTTTGGCAAACACTCTAGGGTCGTTGAGGGCACAGGGGTCGACGATCGGGAGGAAATCAGGGTTATGGGCGATCTGACCCTTCAGGAATCTAAATCCAATCAGATCGGCCTCAGTAGGGTCAAGTACCTCCGGCCGAGCCAGAAACGGCTGGCGGGCAGTATAGTAGTGTTCGTGCGATGATAACGGCAGGGGCTCGACGGCACTCTCCTTAACCGGTGTCAGCTTACCCTGCGGCTGTTGTTGCTGCTGTGGCTGCTGTTGTTTTAGTTGAGTTCCGGGGTCCAGTTTTGCCGAATTGCGAGGACTAAGTCCTGGTCTTCTGGCGATGGTAAACTTATCTGTAGAGTGCGGCGACACTGCCAGATTTTGGCGAGCAGCCAGTAATGCCAGCTCAGTGGTAGGGGTATCGAGATTAAGCTGGGCCGGACGTCTGGGCGTCGTTGTTGATGGTGTTGTGGCGGGAGTTTGGGGGACACGTGCCAGCAGCGATAGCGGCGAGATCAGCGGTGGATGGACAATTTTCGGGGTCAGCGGTGGCAGCGCCAGCGTGTTAATCCCCTGGAAGGCAATTTGGGGAGCAGTAGCCGCCGTATTCGGTTGGTTTGGCGTCATATTGGCATCGTCACTTTTCCGAGAAAACATGCGCTTAAACTTCAGCACCGACCGTTTCAGCAGCACCAGCTTGGCGTCATCCAGTTCTTCTTCGACGGTCGTCACCAGGCGAGGGTTCAGCTCTGCCATCAGCACCACCAGGTCGGCGCGGTGGCGAGGGGCGTAGCCACCAGAATTCAGCCGGGTCAGTCGGCCCAGGTGGGCGGAGCGGTTGCTCGTTCCCAGAAGCACCAGCTGTTGTTCTGAGAGCTGCAGTTCGATGTCCAGTTCCCGGGAAGACCGCTGGTGGCGCTTTTTCCCCTGGCGCTTGGTTTCCCCCTCCTTGAGCTTCTGCTTCGTCTGGTAGCTCACCAGCGGCACGATCATATACAGCATCGCACACACACGTCAATGGCAAGCGAATACAGAGCAACACGGGGTTCCGTCGCCTCCGCAAACTGTCAGGGTGGGGGGGTGTACTTTTAAGGTAAGGAATTGCACCCGAGGCCAGTGCGCACTCTTTAGGTACAATGTACAGGCTTCCTGTGGGGAGATGACGAAATAGGACAAAAACGGCGGAGAAATAAGCCGACTATAAGGGAAATTTGGATGGAATTTTCGATGATTTGGGTTCTATAGGGGTTTAGGGAAAGATTGGTGTTGGTAAATTACGTGATTTCTCGGTGGATTGGTGGGAATGATGGGGTCTTGGTGAGGGGTAGGCGCGCCCAGCTGAAAGCAACGCCTGACCGTTAGACGTCACATGGGCATCGAAAGGGGCACACCTGCCAGGGCAGGGCTACTACGGACCAAACCCACTTGGCATGTGCCACTAGTAATAAAACTATGGATTAAGCATTTTGTCATATCGGGTTTTTATTCCCTGCTTCCGTGGGGTCTCCGAGTTTAGCCGGAGTGCGTCGGGAACGGATCTCGATGTTGGGTTCTAGAAGCGGGTGCGGACGGCGCCGATCGCCGGCATTTGCCGACGTGCCGGGAGGTGGATAAATCGATGAGGGTAACACGAGATGAGCTGTGATGAAGGCTGGTTGAGGAGGAGGAACAGGGGGGTCGAGAAGAAGGTACGGTGGAATGTCCGCCGGGAATCGCCTCCGGAGTTTAGACCGACAGGTGCCACCCCTGCTCCTTGCACCAACAATTGGCGAGAAGTGATGAGGTATATGATCTAGTTTATCTCTAACATCATCATAGATAATATTAGACAAATGAATTTATTGATTATAATTGACATTTTCACCAAATGTGAAAATTTCGATAAATTGAATGAAAGGTGAGCAACCTACTAATCGAATCCGACAACAAATCATCCAAGTCAAAATTGTAGTCTCAGATATATTCAAAGGTCGACTTAATTCCAATTTTCATTCACATAAAAAACATAAGAAACCACCCAACGCCTACTCCTACACCTACCAACCTACTCCTGTCACACCTAAACAACCTACCCCTCTACCCCTACTCCACTAGTCTCCTACCCCTACTTTTTACTCAACTTTTTCGAGGTCAACGACGACTCTGCCGACGACATCGCCCTTGGCCAACCGGTCATACACATGCGATAACTGGCCCAATGGCACCACCTCGATGGGGCACGTGATCAACCCGCGCGCGAAAAAATCAATGGCTTCCGCGGTGTCCTGGCGGTTACCAACGTAAGAGCCACGAACACTAACGGAGCGGGCGACGGCGCTAAACACCGGCACCGTCACTTCGGCGCCTTTAGGTAAACCCACAAGCACCAGGGTACCGTTGGAGCGCAAGTACTCCACCAGCTGGTTCATCGCCTGTGGAGAAATCAGCACGTTAATGGCGCCATGAGCCCCACCACCAGTAGCATCAATCACCGCCTGGACCATGTCTTTTTCCTTGGTAAAGTCAAGGTACACTTCGGCGCCCAACTTCTTCACCAATGCGCCCTTAGCGTCGCCACCATCGATAGCCAAAGGCCGTAACCCCATTGCCTTAGCGTATTGTACGGCAAGGGAACCAAGACCACCGCCAGCGCCCGAGATCGCCACCCAGTTCCCGGGGACCAAATTGGCCGTCTTCAACGCCTTGTACACCGTAACACCAGCACACAAGATCGGCGCCACTGCCGCTTCGTCCGTCCCCTTAGGGATACGTGCCGCCTGGATGAAATCAGCGGTGGCGTATTGTTGGAACAGCCCGTCGTGAGTAGCACCAGACAACACGGCGTGAGGGCACAGCAGCTCGTCGCCCTTGATGCAGCACTCACACCGCTGGCACAGCGAGTAGAGCCACTTGATGCCCGCCAAGTCGCCGAGCTCCCATCCAGTGACAGCCGAGCCCATGGCGACAACTTCGCCCACGCCTTCATGGCCACCCACGAGGCACGGCTCAAGCTTCAACTCGATGGGGAAGTCGTTGTGGTAGACGTGCAAGTCGGTGTGGCACACGCCCGAGTACTTGAGCTTGACGAGGAGCTCGTTGGGCTGGGGGGTGGGCACGGCGATGGTGTCGAGGTGGAGGTCCTTTCCCGGGGTGTGGAAGATGGCTGCGGTCTGGGTCTTAGGGATGGACATAATGATAATGAAGGGAAAGAGGAATTGGTTTAGAGGCGAGGGGACCCTGTTTATATGGAGTCGATCATGCCAGCAACCATCTCGCGTAGATCGAAATCACCCCACCGGAAGATCACCTCCGCTAGTACAATCGGTAAATTGTCATGAAATGAGAGAGATATGACCACAAGACAAGACCCAGTATATCAGGAATTGTCTAGTACTAGTGTGTCTGTTGAGTGGAAATAAGAATAAGGCTTGGGACGAGGGAAGAGTAGTACCCCGTCCGTGGTAGTCTAGCTCCATTGGGTGGCACTAAATCTCAAATGATCTGATGATCTGATAGCGTGTGGAGGGCGGCTGTCTTCCGAGCGATCGTAAATATGCGGGGTCCCCATCGAAATGGCGCCATCACTACATGTAGAACGATGGCACCACGATGACTCTAGCGTGATTAACAAGCGAACACTGTCAAATTGATGACTACTTTGTTTATGAATAAGGAAGGTGTCTTCTCTGACATAAAAATCGGCTAATCCTGGGACGCGTCTATCGCGGAGAAGTATAGAATGATGCTACCGACCAGACGAAACCTACGCTATTAACGTATAATTGGACAGTCTCACTTACACTAGATTACATCCCTAAGCCAAAGATATCAAAGTATTTTCCTGATTGCGCCCTCTCTACACCCTCGTTTTTTGCCCCTTGTGGCTGGTGGACGAGTCTAGCCTCATAGCGAAAAAAAAGGATCCCAGCCACTACGCGCTTTTTCCCCTTGATCCACCATCTCCCCGTGATCTCTCGGGCACCACCACCCCCTAAACGCCATATTCGACTATTTAACTAAACCACCTCTATATCCAAAACTGTCTCAAGCCTAAGAACAATTTCTTAAATATCGTCAACTTCGAGATTGCATTAATCCGTGACATTCCCGTTGTTGTTGGTGGGAGCGCGCACGAAGCGATCTCTAATCAACCACCCCCACCTGATCCTACCCCCACACCACTGGCCATGTCTGACCGAGCTGCCAGCGCCGGCACCCGCAAACGCCACTCGCTCTCCACCATCGAGCTGCTGGTGACCCGCTTGCTCGTGTCCACCAAGCACTTGCTCGAGCTGTTGACCCAGTGGGCGCGCCACGAGGCCGACGACAAGTACGTCAGCGACGCCTACGTCAAGCTCGGCAACGACTTCCGGGCGGCCACCAGGGCATTCAACACCGCCGGCGTCGACGTCCGTGACATCGGCGACGTCCCCCAGGCGCTCCGCGAGATCTTGGAGGCGGCATTGCTGGAACAGCCGTCGCAGCAGAACTTGGACCGCTTTTTGCCCCATATCCGGAGCATCATCGTCACGTTATTGCAGAACTTGAAGGCGAAGCAGCAGCAGGCGAAGCAGTTGGCTCTGGAGCGCACCATGGAGCCCGAACCGGCGGAAATTACCCCTACCACTACTACCACCACTAATAATGCCTCAACCAATACCGCTACCGCTTCATCTCACTCCAAACTGCGCCTGGTATCATCTCAACCACCGGCAGCGCCCACTCCCCTGCCGCCCGTGGCCCAGCCATCGCCTCAACCGGCACTGTTCCGCCACCTGAGGAAAGTCACTCTGGAGCTGATGGAGATGATTCGCGAGCGCACCAACCTGGGCTCGTTCGTCCAGCCGCCGCTGCGCCGGGCCCTGGAGGCTCTGGCGCCGCTGCCGGTGCAGCTGGTGGCCTCTCCCGTGCAGTCGACGCCGACACCGCCCCAGCCGCCCATCGTCAATCTGGAGGCATTGGCTCAGCTCCAGAAGGGTAACACTATGCAGAGACGAGCTCTGAAACGGTTCCTGGCCTACCAGATGGCCCGGCTCACCCAGGACCTGGTGAAGCACGCGCTGTTTATCGATGCCGACGACCCCCCGGTGCCTCAAGTGTCGCCGCAATACGTGCTGACGCCGCGGTTTGTGGCGCTGCAATTGTCACCCGTCACCGCCGAGGAGGAATCGCCCTCAATCACCGCTGCTGCCAATACTACCACCCCATCAATTCCCGTTTCCCATAAAGCGCCACCAACGCGTACGGTGTCGGCGCCAGTGACCACCCCTGCTCCCACCAAGGACGACCCTACCCCCGATACCTCCATCCCTGCTCCTACTGGCACCCAGCTGAAGCGGGCGCTGGGGGTTTACGACCCGGACCTGTTCCTCTTTCTTCGCATCCACAACCGCACCAAGAAAGTCCCGGTGCAGTTCCCCGTGTCCTTTGCCCTGTTGCGGCTTTTATTTGTGGAAAAGTTCGCCTACAGCCCCGGCACCGAGTCCTTCCCCGAAGTGTACCTCAGTGACCCCACCACCGGTGTCACCTATGAGCTTGAGGAGCTGATGATTGACGAAATCAAGCCGGGGCTGTTGCTTATGCTCAACGAGGTCGATCCTAACACCCTGCTCATCAAGGACTTGCTTCTCAAAGTGCTGACGCTTAATTCCCGCGTCGACGGCATGGGGCGTGATATCAGCCGTCAAGTAAAGGAAGCGGTGATGCTGATGGAGATCTCGCTGCCGTCGCCGGTGGTCACCAATAAGGGCACCCCCACTCCTGCCCTGGATGCCGCTTACCGTGAACTTGGCCAGTTGCAGTTTGAGCTCAAAGCGCTTAAGCTGGCGGAGACTAAGCATAAGCAGACGATCCAGCTGCTTGTGGAAAGCGTCCAGAGCCAGTTGGTCCAGTTTAGAGAATTGGGGCTTGAAGACTCGCTGGGTAAACTGCTGAACCGCCACTACATGGAGCAGTGCCATCAAAAGCTCAGTGAGGAGAGCGACACGTTACTTACGCGTGTCGACGACTTACAGGATACTATGGAAGCGTTGCGTAAGGACGTGGCCCAGCGTGGGGTGCGTGTCAGCGAAAAGCAGTTGAAGCACACCTTCCACGAGATCGACGAGGTGAAGCTGCTGCTCTCGCAGATGATGAACTACATCTCGAAGGAGAAGCTGGTGTGGAAGAAGATCTGGGAACAGGAGCTCGATAAGGTGTGCGAAGAACAGCAATTCTTCAACCTCCAGGACGATTTGACCCAGGACTTGGAGGAGGATATCCGCAAGATCGAGGAGACGTTCGACTTGATCGAACAGTGTCTGACGCAACAGATGAAGGCTCCCAAGCGCAACAAGCCGGCGTTTGTGGTACCGCTCCCCGAGCCGGGCGAGCTGATGCAGCAGGTGAAGAACGCGGTGTTGGACCAGGTGCTGATGCTTGTGCCCAACCACGACCTGAGGGTGGAAGCGATCTCCAAGGCGGAGAAGATGCGCCAGCGGGAACGCGAGATCCACGCCCAGGACCAGTTCCAGGAAGAGTTGGGCGATTTCGTCGAGGAGAAGAAGTTCAAGCTGCTGGGGGGGTTCGAGGAGATCGAACGCATCCGCCAGCAGAAGAACGAAGAGAACTTACGCAACGGCATGGGCGTAATTTAGTGCATAGTAATGAAACAAGTAATCGACGTTGTCACTGATATTTCCATTAATCTTCCTATTAATTCCCTAACTAAATCACTATTAAATCCGTAAAAGCTCGTAATCAACAAATAAACTCAATCGTCCACATACCTGTACCACAAATCTTTCCCCACAATTTTGTTCAAAAGGTTATAGTTCTCCTCCACCCATTCACGGAGGTCTTCCTCGTCATAACCAACGTGAGCAAGTACCAAGTCATGATAATCACTCCAATCCTTGTAAAGGAAACCCGAGTGACCGCCGGCCATCACCACCACCTCGTCGTTGAACTCATAATACTGAGGGTAATCGTCATCTCTCGTCACGAGATATTGAACCGCCTTTCGTTGGTTGTACCAGATACCAGCCACCACTGCTATCGCATCATAGTGAAGCAAGTGGTGGGTTTTAGACTGAATCACATCAAGAAGGGACTCGAGTTGTTGTTCCTCAAGGCTAGGCTCAGGGCGGTCGGGGTAATACATCCACTGACTCGGTATCAGGAAAAGCAGCTTTAATACCAGTAACAACCATTTGAGGAGTTCATCAGACGTCACCGTCGTAAGCCCAGCGATGATTGCGTCGACGTACTTTGGCACTTCCTCTTCCAGTGGAAAGTTATCTTTGCAATCATAATCCCAGTAATCGCACACATCCTGACAATAAGAGATCTTTTCCTCAGTCAGGAACTCTTCCAGAAACAACATTTCCCGGAAATCATCACCTGAGTTAACAATGCAAAGATCCATTGTTGATAATAGGTGAATGGTATGAAGATTGAGCTACAGGGGAGGGGAAACTGACGTATTTATACTACTTTTCGTCTACCGCACCCCCCGCGTATTAATGATTTTGTATACGACTATAGAATAATCGGCGTATTTTTCGTAAAAAAACTCAAAACTGATAGATGAACATACAAAGTCATCTAGCAAGAGGTGGGTTTACAATTGGTTCAACTTTAGTGGTACTCATGGGTGTTTTTTTGGATTGGTTCAATATTCAGTCGGTGTAAGTTTCCTAAGCTAAACGAAGAAATGAGTCATTATACGTGTCTTAAGCACACCGGAGATGAATGACGCTAGAATCACTGAGTATACGTGGATCCTCGAGTCAAAGTATGGAAGTTCGATGAGTCAATATGCCACGAAAGCGTGTTACGTGATAGGCTCTGTTAGCTTATGAACTCAAACTCTTTTACGATAGTTGCACCTGAGACTGAGAGAATGTTGAAAATCGGGGAGGATCAGGGGATGTAATTACTAAACGTATTATGGCTTGACTATTAACAATTTGGCCTGAGTACAGAATGACTCACAAGTGTTGCGTGTAATTTCTCGTAGAAAGAGCTAGACGATCAAGCAATTCATTCAAGTGAACTTCAGAATGTTAAAGCTGATTCAATTGAAGGATAGCATTGCTGGCACCTATGAGTATTCCCGGTTTGTTGCATTGTTATGGCAATATGAACGATTTTGGGGGAATTGTCAAACCAAGAGTCTCCACCAGCCACCTAAATTGTATAGGGTAGTAATCAAAAAATTCGAAATGTTCAAGGGTGCTTTCGTCTTCAAACTCTAGCCATGCCATATTTGTTTGGCCCAATGAGAGCAGTAACTGCTTCACCGATTTAGGGATGAAAAGACGGCGCTGGTCACTCCAGTTAATCGACGCTTGGCGGATCACTATCGACTGCAAGTGTTCGCAGCCAACAAACACGCCGGGAGGCACGTATTCCATAGTGCTGAGATATACGTCAGTGGGTAACATCCATAGCGTGACGCTCCGTAGCAGGCGGGGGATGGTCCCCTCGTATGAGTATTTCAAATCATGACAATTGAATTGCAGCACGGATGCTGTATTGGATTGATAGGTCGTGATGCTTTTGGCGTTGATGGTTTACAGCACCAAATCGATACGTCGTCGGCGGTCAAAGTGCGCGATTTCAACTCCAAAAGACTCAACTTAGCTGACTTGAGAGGTTGAGGTATATATAACTCGTCCTGGGCTCTGTAGTCATTTAAACTCAAATGAGCAAGGAGGGGAAACTTTTCCTCAAGCAATAGCTTTTTGTAATTGTATCTGAAGCCGTTCAATTCTAAGAACACGACGTTGGGCGTGTTGAGATACAAGTTTCTCCACACTCCTGATAACGTGAGCCGCGTGAGTTGAGGGCAATCCACAACGACACCCTTAGCACTTGCCTCCAATTCTCGTAGAGTGGACGAACGGATTTTGACTCGAGAGCTTTCTCCGGTAATCTTAAGCACCTTAACGTGTGGAAAGATACCCACCACTTGACGATACGTATGCACTTTCAAATAGACCACCGACGAAGGGAAAGGGAATGTTGATGTGATATCCTCGTCGGTGGTCATGTGTAACTCTTGTAAATTGACCAAGGGATCAAAATCAAGAATATGGTAACCAGGAGCATTGAGACACACCAATTGAGCCATCTGTGACTTGGTGAAAAGCTGCCTCATAGTAGTGATCGTGGATATCAACCACTTGTTTCAAGGTCACTTTCTCAAGTTTGGGACAATATGAATTGCGAAACGTAAACATCACACACAGCCGTGGTGACACCACTATATGATTGCAGTTGGGACCAGGGAGCATTAGTGATACTGCCTCCGTCAACGTGCTTCAAATTAGTGAGATTAGAGGCATCATAGGCCACGCCCACGGGAAGCACTAGCTTCTCCACCAGCACTGGAACTGTACCGATATCATCCGGTTCAGGCCGGGCTTCGACTTAGACCTCAAACGACTTGACACAGTCACCCGTGATTGAAAATCCATCGCAATTTTTGAACACCACTCTAATCTCAGTTTCGCAATGATAAAGTTTCCGGGCTCCGACGACCTCCAACGTGTCAATTCTCATGTTCCAGTCCTGTAACAGGAAGGGATAACCGTATACACCAGTGAAATCAAACACGATGTGGAGCAGTAAGAATTGGCGGCGCTTAAACCATTCGGGGACAAGCCGGTGCAATGTGGGGTTAATATGGGCCTTGACATGGCACGGAGGAAGCTGTCTGAGTATAGCAAAGCTAACATAGGTCAGGTCACCTTCAATAACCGTTTTCGGGGTTACTTCCACTGTTTTATCGGCAAGAAACGCCGCCACCAGCTGGCTCCTAGGATATAGTGCCACCTATAAATGGCACGCCGACGGCACAACCAATAAACAGCAAGATGAGGTGGTGGATCTCTGCGGGGAGATCAAACCAACCAGTCATTTAAACACCATTAAAATTCACTTATTCTTTGGGCAGTAGCATGAGTATTGTTGCTTCAATGGTTTCCATATACGGTGCGGCTTTGGTGCGAGTGACGTCAGCGTTAACCCAGAGGGCATGGCCAGCGACAACGACACCGACGCCGGCGCTGCCGCTGTTCCCCAGGCTGAGGGAGTGACCAACGGCACCGATGAGGTCGCCGAGCTCAAGAAGCAGTTGAAACAGGCCCAGGACGAGCGCCAGGAGGTGCAAAGCCAGTACGACACCTTGGTGGGGAAAGTGTCGCTGATGAAGCTGGTATTCACCAAGATGAAGCTGGCGCAGAAGGAGTTGGAGGAGACGAAGGAGGCGATGCTGCTGTTGCTGGAGGAGAACCAGAGTTTGACCGAGGAAATCCACCAGTTGAAGGAGAAGCTAAGCCAACAAACGAAGGAGGTTAATGAGGCGAAGGAGAAAAACGAAGTGCTTAATACCGAGTGTGACAAGCTCAGCCAGCAGTGTAAGCTGTTTGAAGGACAGATCAGCCAGTTGAACGACGAAAAGTACGCGTTGGAGACCAACCAGAGCACCCACCAGAAACGGGCACTGGAGCTTAAACGCCAGCTTGGCATTAAGGAAGTGGAGGTGCTGGAGTTAAAACAGGGTCACAGCGAGCTTCAGACTAAGCTTGAGACTACAGAAGCGGCGCTACTGCTGGCCCAACTGGCTAAGGAACAAGCCGAACAAAAGTACCGTGACGCCCACGCCGAGATCGCCGAACAGGCCCAGCGACATGAGGAGACCAAGAAGTCGTTGACCACCACCATTGACTCTCAATTGACCGCCATCGCTGAGCTAGAAAGCAAAATCACTGATTTACAACGCCAGCTTGAAACAAAAGAGGATAAAATCTCTGAGCTCGAGCAACAATCACAAGAGATCGACACTTTGAAACAAGAAGTGCACGCCAAACAGCTTCAGATCGGCAAGCTCCGCCACGAAGCCATCATTCTCAACGAGCACTTGACCAAGCTGCTCACGCAAATAAAGGAGCTGATGGGGGACGAGCTGACGCGTGTCGACAAGGAACTTATCACCAATTTAATTATCCAGTTTCTCCAGTTCCCCCGAGGCGATTCCAAGAAGTTTGAGACGCTTCTGCTCATCGCCCTGACATTAACTTGGGACGACACCCAGCGAGTGGCGGCGGGGCTTCTGCTGGGCGGCTCCGCCGCTGGCGACGGCAAGCGGCTCAAACCGAGTTTCGCCGGTTTATGGACGGAGTTCTTGGAGAAAGAACTGACCAAGAAGTGATATCTCCATCTTCTTTGAACCCCCAATAGCATTCACCTATATTTGCACTACTACCCTTTTATCTAGAAGTCACGCTAGACATAATCAACAACCAAGCGTTCTCAGTACTAATTCATTAGTTTCCATTTATTTGTCCTATGTCTATAACCGTAGCCTTTTTAACCCAATTGAATTAACCTCATTCTAACTTGTGAAGCTTCACTTTGTCATCATTCGTTTCGCTGCCCTTTCGTCGTCGTCGTGTTCGACACTGCGTTTGCGTACCACTGGAGTAGCAGTAGTTGTCAGTTGGCAATGGCGGCGTTTAAAGGCGAGGTACTCAGCAAATGCCGGTACTTTTATACCTCTCTGTTCAAGTTCAATAAAGATCGACTTGTACAACCCACAGAGCCAATAGAACAGGTTGCGTTCCCCCCACTGGTACCATAGCGCCCCTAAATAGACGACAAAAAGACACTCCGTCGGCATTTGTGGTGGTGACGGCGATGACGGCAGAGCGAGCCCTAACCGAGCCCCCATCCACTCCAACAGCTCCACCCGCATCACGGAGCTAATAATCTCATTACGTTCAATCACTCCCAAAGGGATCACTGAGCATATGAACGCCTGGAGCCGGCCAAACCCTAAATTACCGAGACTGGCTCGGCCACACTTATCCTCGGAGTCCTGGCGGTTTTCGAAGATATAGCGGTGGTAGACGTTATCGATGGTGGGGATGTTGACGGGGAAGTCGTGGGTGGGGCGGAACACCGGTCGTTCGTCCTGATCCCACGTCATTTAGACTTTAGTGGCGCGTGTCTTCGTTCTAGCTGGAGACGGTGGCGCGCCTCATCGCTCGTGCGACCATAGTCCCACAGTGGTCCAGAGAGTAGGCCTCTGATTCTCAACAACAACGGAAATTCAAAGACTGAAAAATTGACACGACTGAATAACTCAGATGCTAAGAATACCAAAACTTCCTTCTTTATCAATTAGATTGTCTTGTGGGGTTCGGTTAGTGGCGGGGTTACTCTTGACTCTGGCCCTCACTATAAACCTAGACGCATCCCCACACAGGGCTGACTCGCGCCCCACACCTGGCTGACTCCCACCCCCCACGTCCACTCACCCTGACTCGGCGCCCGCATCCTGCCGCACCCCGGCCGGAGCCACCCGAATTTATTACTATACTATATAAAGCACGTCGATCCCCCAACCCCCACACTTATCCATTGAGCCTGATGTTGAGATCGTCGAAAAGACTCTACCTGGCCCTCGCCAAGACCCCGCTCTACCCCTGTCACATCGAGTTGGGCGGGAAAATGGTCGACTACGCCGGGTTCGACATGCCGGTGCTCTACCAGGGCCAGACCCACATTGAGTCCCACCACTGGGTCCGGGAGAAGTGTGGTTTGTTCGACGTGTCCCACATGTTGCAGCACCGCATCCTGGGTCCCGATGCTAAGGCGTTCTTGCAAAAATGTACCCCGATTGATCTCGATAGCCTTGCCCCTTTCCAAGGGCTGCTTTCAGTGTTATTGAACGAAGACGGCGGTGTCATCGACGATTGCATCATCACCAAGCACGACGACGACCACTACTATATGGTGACCAACGCTGGCTGCCGTGATAAGGACATGAAGTTCTTAAAGAAAGAAGGCGAAGCTTTCAACAGTTTGGACCACCAGCCGTTTGAACTGACGCTTCTCGCCATCCAGGGACCTAAAGCTGCCGAGGTATTGCAACAATTCACTCAGGAAGACTTGACCAAGTTGTTCTTTGGCAACCTGGTGTTTGCCAAAGTCGCGGGGATCAAGCTGAACGAACCCGTCCACATTGCCCGGGCTGGCTATACCGGCGAGGATGGGTTTGAGTTGCTGATCCCGTCATCGAACCACGACGAAGCTACTGATGCTCGTAACTTCTTTATGTCGCTTATTGAAGATTTCCCCGAGACGGTTAAACCGATTGGGTTAGCCGCCAGAGACTCGTTGCGGTTGGAAGCAGGGATGTGTCTTTACGGTAACGAGTTGCTGGAAGATAAGACTCCCATCGATGCTCTGTTGGCGTGGTTAGTCCCCAAACTGAGACGCGAGACGGGGGGCTTCAACGGTGCCGCCAAGATCTTGAGCCAGATCAAGGATAAACTGACCACCCACCGCCGGGTGGGGATCAGACTGAAGGGGCCGGCCCCTCGTGGTGACCTGAAGATCTACTCGCAAGATGGTAACGAGATCGGGTGGGTGACGCTGGGGCTGGCGTCGCCCACTTTGGGCGGTAACGTCGGCCAGGCCTACATTGAAAAGGGGTACAAGTTTGGTACCCCGATCAAGATCGAGATCAGAGGTAAACAAAGAGATGGCGAGATCGCCAAGTTGCCTTTCATCGAGGCCAAGTTCTACCGCGGGGAATAAATACAGTTCATAGATATTCAATATACTTGAAAACGACACTATAAGTGATTATCGGTAATGTGATTCAATAGTTGTTCGCAATTTACCTCTATGACACCATATATAGCCTGTCAGTTTATTTCCCCGTCAGTCTCCATCAGTTTAATATCTCATAATTTCGTTGTTTATTCCCCCTGGATGGTGGCGATCACTCTTCTGGTGTGTCGATAGGTTCTAAACTCACACAAGTAGATCCCCTGCCAGGTGCCAAGGGCAAGCTTACCGTTCGTAATCGGGATCGTCAACGACACCCCCGTGATCGTCAGTTTGACGTGGCCAGGCATATCGTCGGGGCCTTCATCGTCATGAGCATAGAAATCGCCTTCGGGGACTATCCGGTCAAACGAGTCGGTCATATCCCGGCGCACCGTCGGGTCGCAGTTCTCGTTGATGGTGAGCGCTGCCAGCGTGTGCTGGAGAAACAAGTTGACGAGTCCGACTTTGATCCCTTGCACGGGCAATTGCGGGATCACTTCGTTCGACACGAGGTAGGTGCCTTTGCTCCGCGGCTGGAGCGTGATCTGTACCTGTTTCCACACCATGGTCGAGAGCAACGAAAGCGCGTGCGGCAGTACCTAAAGTGTGGTGCAGCAGAATATGTACCGAAGCAATAACTCAGCGGAAATTCTATCTTGATTTTATGGGCGATAAACTAGTCAGCTTACTTGAATTGAGTTGACTTGTTTATCCTTTCATTGTGCTAACAAGCGCATATACTGAGTATCGTAGACCAGTGTAGCGTAAAGTTGTTGAAATTTTAAGTTAAAGGTCTCTCAGTGAAATTAGCTCTGGCAGGATGCTGATTATGAGAGCGACTCTTACAAAAGAGCTTTCATCTGTAAGTATCACCACTTGAAATTTGCCTACACAAGCAGTATGTAATCTATGGTTGTTGCGGTAAGCACGACACTCCCGAACATTTCGATAAGGCTCCACGCACCATTGTAGCTTCTCCTTGTCATACACAGTTGGAATCACCAATTACTCTCTGATACATTCGGGTTCCCACCCATTATCGTGCGAAACTAACGGTCTCGATTTTTATGTGCTACTGACTAACCTGATCTCAATGAAAAACAGCTCCCACGTTAGTGTAGACAAGGCACACACCCAGATTCTACTGTATAGGCGAATGCAGTAAACCCAATTTGACAAAGACCAAATCAACAGTCGACAGTTAACGGTGAGTAAATTAAATTGAGTATGCACTAAGACTTGTTACTCTACATTATCATTTACTCGTTTGCTAATTGTTATTCTCCCATTATTTATACACTATTATGTTTAGAAGATGACGAACGAGACACCACCGATGAAGGCAGTGACCAAACCCATCAACCCGGCGAGTTCGCCCTTGCCCATGGCCTTGACGGCACCAGCGTCGGAGCCCTTGGTCGACGACGACGACGACTTGGCGCCCGACGACGACGAGCCCGAGGCAGAGCCCGAGGCGGAGCCCGACTTCAGCGAGCCCGACGACGAGTCCGACGAGTCCGAGGCCGTGTCCGAGGCGTTGGCGGTCTGTTGAGCAGCAGCCGAGACCTTGTCCTTGCACGAGTTGTCCGACGAAGGGGTGACGATCTTGGCGGAGCCGTTCCAGTCACAGGCGTCCTTCGTCTTCTTTTGGTTTTGGTAGTAGGCGTTCAACACGTACGACAACTTGTCCTTGTCGGAGCAGAACGAGACACCACCGTAGTTACCGGTCTGGGCGTTGGTGTTGATGGCGCCACAGGCTTTGATGTCGGCACCGCAGACTTGGTCGAACAAGTCGCCGTAGTTCTTTTCGTCGACAGAGTCGTCAACGACACATTCCAACGACTTGACGACACAGTCACAGGTCTCGGAGTCAGGGGTGGGGGGCAACTTCAGCGACGCCTTCCAGTTGGCGCCAATAGTAGGGCAGGCCAAAGTGTTGGAGGCTTCCGACGACGCGGAGGCNGAGGCGACGGGGGCGTACGATTGCGACGAGAGCTTGGCCATTTGCGACAGCAAGTTGTTGAAGTCGTCCAAGGTCGACACCTTGCCGTTGGACACCGACACCAACCCGTAGTTGTTTTCTTCTTCAAAGTACATGTAGACGATACCACCGGACCACACGTCGGTCATCTTGTCCGAGTAGATGGTGCCGACTTCAGTGAAAGGTCTGGGGCCCTTGCCTTCGTTGCACCCGTATTCGGAGAAGAACACGGGGATGGTCAAGTTGGCGTATTCTTCAGTTCTGTCCTTGTAACCCGAGGTTTCAAAGTTGACGGTAGAACCACACCATTCGTACATGTTGATACCGAAAAAGTCGGCTCTTTCGTCCAAGTCACCGCAGGCAAAGTAGTCGGCGATGGGCACTCTGATGTCTTCGTCGTCGTTGGCGGAGTAACCGACGGGGATGTAACGGCCAAACTTGTCTTGGTTGTCCTTGATGTACTTCTTCGAGTCTCTGACGGCGGCCTTGACGAAAGCCGAGGCTTTGGTGTTGTTCTTGGCGTTGGACACTTCGTTACCGGCGAAGAAACCGAGGACGTTGTCGTACTTGCCCAAGTCGTCGATGACGGCCTTGTAGCGGTCGAACAACTTGACGTTCCACTCGGGGTTGGCACGGTTGATCGACAAGTCGGGCTCGGACAAGTCGGCGATGATGTAGATGCCGGCGTCGGAGAACGTCTTCATGCAGTCGTCGTGGGACTGGTTGCCGGAGACGGCGTAGACACGAAGGGTGTTGGTCTGGAGCTTCTTGAAGTACTCGACGTCACGCTTGCAGGCGTCGCCGTCGGCCAAGGGGTCGACAAACGACGCGCCGTCGGTGACGTTGGCGGTGTTTTGCTGGTAGGCCACCCCCTTCATCAAGAAGCGTTCGCCGGTCTTGGAGTCGTAGAACTTGTTGCCAACAACCTCAATCGGGTTGAGGGCCAACGCACTGGCGGCGAGAGCCAACGTCGAAAGCAACTTCATAATGTTTTGGGGTTGAGAAGCGAACGGACGAGTTGAGGAGGCGCCGCAGGATTTGTTGGGGTTTATATAAACGCGCTATTTTTCACGCCGGGGCGTGGGTGTGCAAGAGGATCCGAGGGGTTACCCGCACATGCATACTCGGCGATGATTCGCAGCAGCGAGGATAGGGGTGGAGGGAGGGAGGGAAGAGGATGGAGACAGATGGTCATCGCAACGCCCAAGCGTCTAAAAATGTAGTACCCAGAAGGTCGTGGTTGGGGCTTGGCTTTCGTCGAAAGGTAAGAACACGGCGACAAGTATTTCGAGTAGGGGCTGTGTTGACGCTCGTTTCTGGTTACGCAGCCCTGCGGTCCGCACCTCCACTACTTTTTTTTGAGAGTGAGAGGCACGGGTGATTATTTCGCGATTTAAAAATAAACACTCGACACGACGCCCCTCATTTCCTCCCAGATGGATATGGCAGGCATAAAGTTTAGGGCGACACAGATACCCGCGTGTGACTACTCCCCACGTCGCTGTAAATAAACCCTACAACCACTACCACCTGCTCTAGGCTACTGGTCGTTCCCACTTCCTCTCCTCCCCGACGGAGCTGGCTCCCGGTGGTCGCGCTATTTTTTTTTCGGGCCTCAGGCATAAACAAAACATTGCCGTGACGGAAACCACAACACGGTGCTGGGACCCACCCCATCCAGCCTCCGGTGATCATATTGAGTAAACGGCCGTCTCGAACCCGAGCCCACGGTTTAGTGTATTTTTTTTTCTTTCTATACGGCGACTCCTTCTCCACCGTGTGTTCCTTAGGGCGAGGCTGGCCCCGCCGTAAGGACTTTTTCGCCCCCCCATAGTTTAACCTTAATCGGATAAATCCCCTTCGGTGCGGGTTCCGCGTCATGACACGATATTCACGGTAGTCAGTGGTTAACCGCGGGGAGACTTGTGCGAGGGTGGCTACGGGTCGCGGAAAATCACTAGCCAGCGATGTGGCTACACACCTGGCGTTGTGATGTGATGATGACTATTGGTGTTTAGGGGTGAACTAGAAAATTATTTGGCTGGCAAAAGTTTGCAGGCAGGAAAAGGGGGGGTGTTTGATCCAGCAACCGTTAGTTGCTGGCAATCACAGACAAATGGTTAGCTGGGGGTGTGGGGCAGAAAGTGCCAGCACCGCTGCTAGTGCTTTCTTTTTTTTCTTTGTGTTGCCTAATTTTTTTTTTCAAAGGCTGATTCTCGACATGCGAGACCTGCACAGACGTTCGACAAACAGTATATCGGTAGTGTCGGGTAATGTGATGTTACCAGGCAGCACCGGCGAGACGCGACGCTCAAAGGGCACTTTTTACGACCGGTAACGTCACCCCGCGAAGAATGTCAACGCGAAACCCGTCAGTCGCGACTGACAGCATGAACACGGTAAGCGCACCCCTCTCATCTTGTCGGAGACGCCTCGTGGATCAATTAGTAAATTGACGACGTGCGTTTCTGTTCCCGAAGCGGTGGTTAGAGCCGGGAGGCTCGGGGCTCGGCAGCTAGGTCTCACACTGGTAGCCCGACGCCGGTGCTTTTTTTTTCACTCACATTTGGCTGAAGGGGTGAGGCCGCATCATCGGTTGCTTTTGCGATTTGGCCAGAGCGTCGTGCGCCTACCGATCCCTCAGCTAAGAAAAAAAGTCGCGCTAGGTTGATTACACGCGCGTGGGGGCACACAAACACCTTGGGGGGTGGGGACGTCTCAATTAAACCTGCTTGAGGCTCAGCGGGCGTGCATGGGCGATGGCAGACAATGGTTGCAAGCTATTTGTCTGTTTCCGACCACTGACGCGAGATTGGCATAGCCCTGGCGCACACTCGCATCGCATCGCCACTTGGCGCGACAACCAGTGTGGACAATAACTAGTAAACCTAGTGATATTAGACGAGTCAAAGGATACCGATGGGAGTAATAATACCCCACTAACCTTGTGGTGTGCTTCATAAACTGTTTCCATGCCTCAGAACGCAAACTTATACGCATTGCTCCACGCTTTTCAGGGGTGCGCCACTACAATTGTTCGTGTTGTATAGTTTGTTCGGCCTTGGAGGAATACCCCGTCGAAGATACTTACACACCGGTATA